ATCTGGTGAACTGGAAAGTGACCTGAGATGACATGATGTGAATTGGAGCTATAGAAATAAACTGAATAGAATAAAATCAAACTAAAAGGATAAACATGTATTGACTATGGGTATGCTGGTGTGACAGAACAGCGGCCTTGACGCTGGAATCTCTGGAGGCTGATCTGTGTCACACTGACCTGAGGGGGAAGAGGATGCAGTATCGCACAAAGACTCCCAGGCCCCAGATGATGGTGAGGCGGAGGCTGATGTAGTAGAAGTTCTGGTTGGTGCGGGTCAGGAGGTTCCAGGAGGCCAGCTCCTCAGAGGAGAACCGCTGCGTCACCTGGTCATCCACAATGCTCTCCAGACCCTTCTTGCAGAAATACATAGCATCGCTCAGACAGAATTCCCCCGTCGCAGAGGGCTGAGAGCAGCGGAGCGGCCCCATCTGCTCCTCCATTGACCCCCCCGCTCGCTCTATGATCCCTGCAGAAACAAACCCACAGCTAACTCCACAGCAACATCTCACTAGACCAGGTAAGCTAGCAGCGGAAATGGATCATTTCTATGAGAGACAAACAAGGGATAAACAGAAATCTTAATACTGACTTTGATTTAATTTAAACAGCTTTAAACCCACACCTGGACTCCATAGTTCAGCACAGACACTTTACAGTTAAAAGGAGAAAACGTATATTTTTTTTTTAAATCTCAAAAGGCTCATTTCAGAAGCAAAGAGGCATAGGTCTGCATGAATAAAACCAGATAGTGAGCACAAAGCTGATGTACTTACCAGCTGCAGTTAGAACTGGTGTTTTTCATCATGAATAAGCAGAACTATGCTGATCACCAGATCATGTAAAATACTGGGAGGATAAACTGTAAGTGATCCCACCAGATTACAATGGGAGACAGTTTCCAAATGGGATCAGTGAGATGAAAAGCCAAAGTTAACAATGACAGAGACGAGAATCTGTGGCCGTTTCTCAATCTGTGTACTTGTGCGTTCTCGTGTCCTCGTGGGACGTCATCAGCCTCAGCCTTAGCACTGTTCCAATTCACAAGAACAAGAAGACCGAGAATGAACAAAGTCCCCGTATGTTGTTCTGGCCCCTCCCTCTTTACCCAGCATGCATCAGAGCAGACCTGTCCGTTCTTTAGACTGACAGCTGTCCCAGCATGCACTGCAGCAGCAGCAGCTTCCAGGTTAGCGCTCGCAGAGCTCAGAGTGTTAAGTTAAAAGTTCTCTTTTCTGTTGCCGTTGTTCAATAAAAGTACATTTTTAGATCATGTAAGGCAAGAACATTATACTTTAAGCATCACTATATGGCCCATTTATATGGAGGACCAACTCTGCCATATTTAAAAAATAAATACAGAAATAAATAAATTCTCAACAAATAAATAAGCATACAATTAATTGCCACCAAAAATACAATAAACAAATAAATGTAAGTAGAAATTAAATTATACAGTGAAATACTCTTTTAATTAGCTTCTTTATTTATTTGCCTTTGTAATATTACTTATATTTCTAAGTATTTATTTATGTGCATGTTATAATATTTTTGTCTGTTTTATTCTTCCTTTGTATTTTTTTACCCTAGTTATTTCTTTGCCGCTATTTATTTCTGCCTGCAGCCTCGGGTCCTAACCTGCTTCTCCGCCTCAAACCGATGCTTCCTGCCCTGGTCCTCCTCAGTCTGGGGTTCCAGTCCGAGCGCTAGCAGCGTGTCCTGCATGTTAGGCGCTTCCCCTGTTTACTTTCAATAAAGCTTGTAAAAGTCACTGAAATGTCTGGGTTGAATCTTGGGTCCGATTGTTGTGCATTACATCAGGTAAAGAGTCTCTGCTTCAGCTGCTCAGACGTGCTGCTTCAGCTGCTCAAAACGCGCTGCGGGAGCTTTTGCTGCGCCTTGACGCGCGTCAACCATTGACTTTGCATGTAAACTCGCTGCTTCTGCCGCATCTGCTGCGTCCAGTGTGAACGTAGCATAAGAATATCATCATATTAGATCATTTACAGCCTCTATGCCTCTTCCTTGACAACTGTGATCGGAGAGAAAGCCATACGGTTTTTACCAATCAGTCATGTTAATACTGAACCACTGAATTACTTATGTTGGCCTTTGATGTCTGAATAAAATGGATCCCATGACAGACTGGCCCCCATAAGACCTGACGTCATTTAGACGTTGGTACAGAAATAGTTGTTGAAAAAATTTGCTGTTTTTGTCAGTCTAATCGTGTCCCACTTTAGTCCAATAATAGATCTGAATATTATGGCTTCCATCTTTCACTTTCCAACCAAACGTAGACGTTGTTTGGACATAAATCATGTCGTCTTTTCAACCAATTTTGCTCGGTGGGATCCTCGGTGGGAGCCGTGAGTTCTCATCCTCGGTGAGGATGAGAACTCACGGCTCCAGGTCTCTGAACGGAAGCCAAACGTGTTTTCAAGTAAAAAAGTCTTGATGAAAACCATGAGCTGGTGGAGCTGCTTCTTAAACGGTTCCTTAATGCCTTGCATCGCTGAACATGTGCTGAAAACTAAGAATAAATGAGATTAAGACAGGCAGAGCTGAACAATGCGTGTAATGTTGACAGCATTCAGAGGATCATGAGGCTGCTGACCTCCTGTTTAACTACGACTGAGTGTCCCTGAACGCCTGCTGCTCTTTCTAACAGCAGGGCTGCTGGGAAATGTTCAAATGAATGAGATGGAGTCTGGGGGCCGTCTACCCAGAGTGCATTGGGGGTGCATTGGTTCCGCTCTGTGCTCATGTAACTGTGGCTGGACACAGGGGAGTACTGATGTCCCGGCTGTGGGTTGGACATAACTTTATACAGTTACACCCAAGGACAGAGCAATAAGGATATAACGGTGGATTCTAGAGTCTGGCCTTTATGGAGGGGATCGGCCTCCTCTGATAGAGGATAAGGGTCTGCCCCATTAGGGGTCGCTGCCCCTCAGTCTGGGCTCATGGACTGTTTAACGGACATCCTGCCCTCCTCAGACCCAAAGTGCCCCTCTTAAGGACTGGTTATCCTCCTGCAGCAGTGAATCGCAGTTAGCTTGTTGCAGCTGTGACGCAGATATTTTTGACTTATGCCCAATATTGAAGCATGCTCTGCGCTATGTGGTTCCACGCCACAACGCAAGAGGGACAATCCGGAACTAGCTAGGGTGTCCGTGTGTCGGTTTGAAGAGCTTGTTCGCCTTCTACAACGCCTAATCCAACGCCAGACGACACACAGTTCCCCCGTGAGTGTTCCCCAAAGACTGGCCGTGGCGTGGCGTGTTTCGTCTTCCGATGCAAACCAACAGGCCGTCACTCAGAGCTACAAGCTAGCGTCCTGCACGGTGTCTAGGATACTTTCTGAGGTGTGCCAGGCGTTGCAGACGGCACTACAGGTAGAGTTTCTGCCATTAGGTACCAAACAGGAAATACGCATAGTGTAGAGCAGGTGGAGATTTGATCAATCAGAGGCCTGCTGTCTGCGGTCACCTGCGGGGGGCAGATCTGCGTTAACTGCGACACACACACAGACGACCTGGTTTCTGAGCATAAACCAGGCTTTACACCTCAGATGTTTCCTCTTCCTGTTTGTTCTCAGCCAGACAGAAGATGGTGCCGCTCCCTCCGCCGTCCTCCTGTCTGACTCTAGAAGTCAGGTGATGGTTTTCACCATCATTTGCTGAGTTTGAATCCAATGGCTGCGTCCTCTGAAGGCCAGATTCGTCGGCTAATTACGTCATAGTGGTTGGAAGATTCCTCCTTATGTGGCCAAATAATTCAGCCTTCTTTTTACCCGTTTTGTAGGACGGGTCCGCTGTATCCTCCATAGCCTTTGGTATCCCATGATTCCTTGCAACCACGCAAGGAAGCTGCTCCGTGCTCAGAGGAAAAAGGGAAATGGCGCCGTACACTGGTGACGATTGGAAGTGCAGTTTAATATAACCCTAGTATGTGAATAGTTCCGCATGAAATGAATGAAAATATGTGTTTTACTGGTTATTGATTCAGATATGTTGCGGTTAATGTTTGTTTATTCAAAGGATTTATCTGTTACTGAGTAAATGGGTTTGGTTGATATTTAAAGGTATTGTGGAGGATTTTCGTGAATTTTTCAAAAGACCCGCCGTCTCCACTTTAAAGAAAGAAATGCACATGCACAACCCTGTAGCTGCTCCCGAGAGGGAACGCCTGTTAAACGCCTGCGAGGATAAGCACATTTCTCCTCATGCACGCTCTGTTTAAAAGTTGCTGCTCTCATGGCTCATATAAGCTTACTGTGTCCGACCATCCGCCCTAAACCCTACGTCCTCACTATTAAGAGCGAGGACTTTATAGTGAAATCCGTTAACTGACCGTTCGGACAGATGATCGCTGCGTTTTACTCCTCCTCCTCCACCGCACAGTGCCTGCGCCATCTTTGTTATTAGTCGCCATCGTCTGGTAGCGGCAGCCTATGGCGACAGCGGAGCGCTGTGACAGCAAACCCCATAACACTTTCTGAGGAGAGCTGTCCCACAAAGCATTCTGGGATATATTTGCCTCTTCTGACGCCTTTCTTTTCTTCTCATATACTTCATAGACACTTTTTCTCTTACGACTCTTGGTCGTTTTCAAAGAACCGCGGTGAGAAAGCTGAGCTTCAATGACCGTCTGAAACCGTAGCTCGCCACAGATACACGCCTGAAAGTGCGTATGGGCAGAAAAAGTGGACGGCCTTATGCAAACATATCCCCAGAATGATTCACAATCAGGAGGACCCCTTATTGAGATGATCCACCCGGTGTACCTTTAAGCACAGATTGTGAATCTCTGCAGTGTGGGGACTATAAACCTGATATTGAGGCGACGGTACCGCTGCTGAAGCTCCTCAGAAATGTTATTAGCAGCTAGAACAGCAGTGAGGAGCTCAGCATCCTTTCTTTGCCTGCTTTGTGCGTCATCTGTCATGGTTGCTAGGCAACATAATGAACCTGTTTGAATCCAAAGCCAAAACTCTTCCTACCTCCTTATCTTTAAGGACTGGCTAAGGTAGCGCCGGTCCTTGGAGGATGCAGCCTCTGCATCCTGATGTGATCCCTGAGGCATGTGGGGACAAACAAATAATAAAATATAGAAACGTGGACGTTTTAACGGATATACTATGAGAAAAATATATATGAAATTATTAAATGTTACATGGAAAAGTTAAAATTTCATGAATTATAAAACATTAATATCATTTAAAATAATAAATTTATTTTAAAACATAACTTACAACTGCTTCGGATTGGTAAATAACTACAGAATCCCGTATTTCTCTGTTTTCAGAGGGTTTCCAGTCTTTTGCATCCTTATTTTTGGGATGATGAGATGAAATGTTTGGGATCAGCTGCTGGAGCTGCCAAGGTCAAAGGTCGCCTCCATCAGGACTGTTTTCTGCTGCAGTTTTCCTGTTTAAATCTATTGTTTTTTATTTTGTTTAGTTTAATGGGAGCCAGAAAGCTGCTTTCTCTGTCTGTTGTTGTCACGGTAACGCCTCTCTGAGGGGCCAATAAATAAATGTATCCTGTTTTTATTCTATTCATCTTTATTTGTCATTTTGTTGTTCAGAAATGATGTAAAATGAGCTTCAAAGGTCAGAAAACAGATTTGTTATTATCAGAGTTTCTGCGTGGTTTGGTGTGTGTGTGTGTGTGTGTGTGTGTGTGTGTGTGTGTGTGTGTGTGTGTGAGTGTGTGGCCCTTTAACCTGCTGTGTTTCTAAAGTTACACAACCTGCTTTTGCATCATCATCCTGAGACGAGCCGTGAGTTTCTCACAGTGAGCGGCGCCCCGACATCAGACGGAGCAGCGGACCAATGGGCAGCCCCCACCCGCAGGCTCAGCGTCACATGACCGCCATCACACGGCAGAGCAGCGTGTGACCAGCCCCCAAACAGGAAGCTGGAAGGCCGAACTGCTCCACATGTTGCAACCAGAGTTAAAGCCTGACCTTATGAGGAAAGCTTTCAGCGAAGCAGGCTGAGAGGGAACCAGAGGACTTTAAACTCATCAAAATGTGCTTCTGGGTTTTGTTAAGCTCAGACCGACATTATTTTTTTTTTTGGTTTGTTTAATTCAAATACCTTCATCATAATTCAGGATTTTTTCCAAATATTATAAAAACCTTTTTATATAAGGAAAAGTCTGCTCAGCATATAATAATAATAATTGTTGATATGATGATTAATTTTTTAACATAAGTATTCTTTTTTTCAGACAGTAAAGTTTTTCTCTTCCTCCAGGTTATTTTATTGAAAGATGCCGTTTTATGTTATGAGTTATAATTTCTATTGTTGTTATTTTTTTTATTATATATCATTTTCTGACAGATTCTTTCACTTTTTTCTCCC